AGAGAAGTTCAGTTCAATAATTTGTTCTTGTTTTGTGTCTATGTTACTAAACTTATTTTCTTATTAGTTGATGATTTTGATTGTTTAGTGTGGTGTTTATGTTCATTTATGTATGAATGTGTGTGTGTTTTTGTTTCTGTGTGTGAGTTTATTGACATCAAAATTTAGATCTTTTTTATGTTCCTGTTATTCGAATGCAAGAAACAACAATTACTGGTGTCCGATGTGACTGTTTATCATGATTCATAACATTGAATTAACAATGTACTTTCAAACTCAAGAACCATTTGTTCATTTTGTTTACTACCTGCCTATAATTTTTTGTGTTTTTTGTGTTAAAATACAAAAAATATAGTTTATTACCATCTCATAGAAAGTGCAAGATTAATAGAAAATGGCATTATGTTGTCTTTTTATATTATAAAAAAATAATGACAGTTTTTTTATTGATAAGAATCAGATAAATTAGGCTTCATTGATAAAGCTAACTTCAAATAAAAAAAAATATAATCTTTTAAAAGTAAATCAACATCTACTCGAATCTGAAAAGTGTAAAAAGAAAATTTAATTACCTAATAACACTCTACTGCATTATACTAAACACACACATTATTCACTAGACATTGCATTAACCAATAAAAACATAATAGTAAAAACATAATAATGGTAGGCACCAGCTTGCTTAAAAAGCTAAGATGGTTACTCTATATGTTATTTCATACATTTACTATTTTTAGGTAAAATGTTGATTTCCTATATTTTAGGATGGAATGTTAAAATCCACATGTCATAGTATTTTTTCAATTTCATTTAGATTCAATTTGGTATTCATTTGCAACCAATATCATAATGGAATGGAACTGGATTCCAAATTTCGGAAAATCACAAATCCTTTCAAATAACACATACATTCAGATTAATACCCTTATATGAAATTAAGGATAAAATTATTATTGTTAGGAAACTCGACAGCAAATTAAACAATTTTACGAAAAACTGCCAAGATTTGAAACACAATTCCTAAAAAAATCTGACTATAAGAATTGATCATAATACGTTTATATTTTGAAAATATATATACCAGTTTAATCCGGAATTCATCTTCTTCTCTTTGTTTATCGGCTACATCATCGTGTAAACCTGTTGAACAGGTCGCCTCGGAATATGTCATCGTTTTCATGAAACCATCGTCGTCTTGTAATTACTCCTCCCCATCAGATCTTGGTTTTATTAATCTTTGACTTTCACTTGTATTGTTTATCTTGCTCAGAGATCACCGACATTTCTAAGAGATTGAAACGACCAGAACATTACCCCCAAATCTGAAGGTATTGAGCCCATTTAAACTACTCCATAATTATGTATGTAGCACCTTTAATTTTAAATTATTTACATTTATTACCCTCATATTACTTCCATTACCTGATTTCGTTAATAAAGCTTTATATATACACTAAATACATAAATTTTATTATACTATTTTTCTTTATTTATGTTTTAAGCTCACCTTTTATCATTACAAATATAGCGTAATAATGCTTTTTTAAAAATATAACATTACTTAGTTAGATAAAAAAAACCAAACCAAACCAACCTAAAATATAATAATTATGTTTTAATATTTTACAATTATGTATTATGTTAATAGTTTAATACAAAATTAATCAACATTACATATGCTATTTTGCCAAGTAACTCATATTACAAACAAATAAATCCAATTATATTATTTTTGCTGATTTTATTAATTTTTGTTTATAATTACAAAATAAATATAAAAATTAATTTTTTAAAAATATAAATAATTTGTTCTAAAAAAAACTAATGTAAAAGTTAAACCTAATAAATAATAAAATAAATTTAAATTCAAAAAAATATATATCGAAGTTTGAATATTATTTAACAAAGTAATTTATAATACAATAGTATCAACAAATAAATGTAAATACTATTTAAATTATTTTCATAAAATTGATATACAACTAAAAATCAATATTTATTTTGAATATATAAATAAATTGTACCATATTTTTATTAAAAAACTTAAAATTAAATAAAAGATAAGAACATATATTTTAATTTCTAAATGCATATGCAACTTTGTTTATTTTTAACCAAATATTTAATAATGATGATATCTATTTATTAATGATTGCAATACAGTCTCTTCATAGATATTTTGGGGTATATGCAAAAAATTTATTCATTTTCACTATTTATTAAAAAAGAACACGGATGTCACGGATGCTAGAGAGAAAGAAAAATATCATATTTTCTTGGATGATACAAAATCCAAAAAAGAAAAATGCATAATCGTCTCAATGTATACCTATTACACATGATATTCATTTTAGCCAATATCATAATCGTCTCAACATTTTAATTTGTAATTCTTTTGTCTACTTAATTTTCTTGTATTACAATAGTTTTTAAATGTCATGTAGCGGTGTCAGTTCCGTGATTTTTTCTATTTTTGTTTAAATGTATATTTAAATTTATATTGTGTTGTAAAAAATCATAATTTTATAACATATCTATAAATATAGTTGTTGATCGGATATTTAAATCAATATGCATTCGTAGTTTCAACCAATCATAATATAATTATGAACTTACTAACAAAACATTTATTTTTATAAATTATTAAAAAAAATTTATCATTGTTTAATAATTACCTTATAATTTAATTAAAAGTATTTTTTATCTTGGGGTTGGCTAAAAAGACACCCTATTTTACCATTTAGACAACTCTAATTAATGTTTGAAATATTTTTATTGGTTGAAATTGCATTGTTTTCTGAAAAAGATGATTAGAAGTAGTTGATTATAGATTGATTTTTTATAAAAATGATTATAAAGTGTTTAAGAAATGTTTTACTAGCAACATCATTTATTTTTCTCACTCCTAGTATTCATGGGTTATAACCTAACTATAGATGTCATCATTATCATTTAAATAGGTAAAAGATACAAACAAAAGTAAACCGATATTTAATTTGTCAATATTTATATATCTATCTAAAAAAGCGTATTTCCCAATTCTATACCATGATATGTGTATGATACGTGTCAAATTTCCAAACGGAGCAAATGTATTAGACTCAAAATCAATTTCATTCTCTACTTTACTTTAAAATAGTTTGTTTTTATTTTTTATTTTTCTTTTTGGAGTTATTTTTGTTATTTTATTATTTTCTTTCTCCTACACTTAGAGCCCAAATAATCCCCACCTATTGACCATTTTCCGACGGTCGATATATTGGTTTAAAGCACATTTCGTCGGTGAGTTTTGCGGGCCCTTATTTCAATCTTTTATCAATTATAAAATTTTAGGGGAGGAATATATATTAATTTATTATATATCGTTATTATTACTGTATAAACATTGTTGTTATTTATGTTGTTACTATGTCTATTTAAAATGGATAATATTTATATTATGGAATATTTTTATACTATGTTGTTACCTATTTAAAAATTGATTATTTTATAGTATGATTTTTTATAGTATGTTGTTTCTCTGCCTGCTTAAAATTGATTATTTTTATACTACGTTGTTATTATGTCCATTTAAAATAGATAATATTTATATTATGTCGTTACCGTGCCTGTATAATATTGATAAATATGATACGCTACTCTGCTAGTATAATATCTTAAATTATTTTACACTATCATACTTTGCCCGTATAATATCTTTAATTAGTATACGATGTCGTTACTCTACATTTTTTTACAATGGATAATTTTCATACAATGTCGTTACGCTGCACGTTTAATTTTTAAAAGATAATCAAACGATATAACTATATATTGATATAATTATACAACGAAACATTGGTTTAATAATTGAAAATCTTAAAGTTAACACTACAACAACTAAGGCTATGCAATCACTGGTTGGATGAGACATATTTATCATCTAAGTGTAATACTTAGCCAACACCCCTTCCCATAATCATTAAATCTTAAGTGAGCGAGAGAGTTATGCAACCATCGACGGTCAAGTCACGGGTGATACCTGTCTAAACATTATGACGTCCGATGAAGCATCGGGGGGGGGGGGAGGGTAACAACAAGTCAACATCTCGATTATGGGAACTCATTGTAACATTTATAGTCACGCCGTAAGCAAACAATTACATAAGTTAAATTAATACTTATATACAGTAAAACATATTTTCAATCAACAAAGTATACTTATAACAAACACACTTCCGGTCAAGAAAGCACATATGTATCAAACATACTTTCGTTCAAGAAAGTACATACTTAACGAAACACATTATCTATTAAGAAAGAACTCTTTTAGCAAATATACTTTGCTATAAAATTACACTATCAGTGAACACATTTTTGTATAAAAGTACAGCTTTATAAACATATTTGTGGTATAAAAGTACACTTTCTGTAAATATATTTTTGATATAAAAGTACACTCTCAGTGAGCATATTTTTGTATAAAATACACTATTTATAAACATACTTTTGGTATAAAAATATATTTTCCGTAAACATATCTTTGGTATAAAAATATACTTTCCATAAATATACTTTTGGTATAAAAGTACTCGTTCATTAAACATATCTTTGATATAAAAGTACATATTAAGTAAACATACTTTTAGTAGAGATTAGAGAAGTACTTTCGATAAAACCCTACAAACCTGTAACTCACCAACATTATGTTGATATTTTTAAAATCGCTTGTATTTCTAGGAAATAAGAAATTGAAGCTTGCACTACGGAAGTCGAGTCGTGAAGTCAAAAATACCTATAGATCAATGATGCAGTTTTATTAAGTTGCATATTGTTTAAAGCTCAAATTTTTGTAATTTCGAATATCATTGTAATATTTTTTCCAATGAAAATACATTTACTATTTTGTTATATTTTTGTACTGTTTAATAACTGTGATTACTAATTTACGGCGCGTACATCGGTGTTTCCACCAGCGGCCGAGGGTGTGACCTAAAGTGAGAAACATAAAATTCAAAATCACATGTAAGAGTTTATATAACATGTTTTATGTTAAAACAATGAATAATCATCGTTAAAAGGTATTTGAAAAATCATTGAGAAAAATAAAAAAATACGAGAGTTTCAAATCAATATGACACTTGAAAATATATCTATGTTATAATAGATATATAAATTGTTACCGTTTAAAAAAACCAAAAATAAAAACAAGGGATAATGACTTCAGAGGGTAACATACTTTTGATTTTGATCACATTTGGTCACTGAACTTTTTTTCGTGCTCTATTAACCCTTTAACTTGTTGATTTGTGCAAATTTCCCCTTCCGACTGGTTTGCCGGTTTCAATGAATTTATTGATCCTACGTGTCAGTTTTGATCCTAACTGGCATCTAGGGTTCTTGTTATTAAAGGAGGGGCGTTTGTTGTTCATTTATTGTGCTCTAATACCCCGTTGCCCTAATACCCGATGGCTTCCTCCTACAGCATCTCATCCTCCCTCAATCGATCAAGCAAGAAATCCACAGTGAATGATCCAAAAACTTGTGATTGTGGGTTCCCTGCACGTATTCTAACATCAACAACACCAAAGAATCCAGGGAGGCATTTCATGGTGTGCAATGAGGTAAGCAATTTCACTTAAATTTCCCCTCTTTTCTGATTCATTTATTCCAGATTTGAAATCTCACTTTGAAATTTTATTGTGGAAGGGTAAATGCAAATATTGGAAATGGTTGGATGTAGAACTTGTACAGATGCCTCTGATGGAAGTGGTGGAGGGAATGAAAGCTGAATTAGTAGCATTGAAGACCGAAGTAGAGAAGGTGAAGGAAGACATGGAACAGATGAAGAAGGAAAAGTACTCTGATGCCATTGCAATGAAGGAGAAAATATATAAGTTTACCATTGGATTTCTTTTTCTGATCATCGTGTATATGATGAAATGAAGTCACATGATGTATTGAAAGATGTTGTTTGAATAGAATAGAGTTGTTATCTTAACTTCTTGTTGGAATGGAATGAAGTAACATTGATTGTAATGGAAAATTTAATTATAAAGAAGCATACATATTAACTGCATACATATTAACTTTGATTGGAATGGAATCACAAAGAATGGAATGAAGTAACTTTGACTGGAATGGAATCACCAAGAAATATTTTTGACTGGAATGGAATCATAAGGAAGCATACATATAACAATGAATACATATTTGATTTTGACTGGAATAGAATCACAAAGTAGCATGCATATAAAGAATTAGTTTTGACTGGAATGGAATCACAAAGTAGCATGCATATAAAGAATTAGTTTTGACTGGAATGGAATCACAAAGTAGCATACATATAACAAATACATATAATAAAAAAAGTAAGTGAATGTGGTGGTTGGATTCATTGTAATACGCCATTAATATTCTACAGTTATATAAGTTTTTGTCTGCATACACAAAAGTAGTTTCTAGGTAACACAAAAGATTCCTGCATAGACAAAAGAAGGGCCACCATGTGCCCATACACCTACTTGATAGTACCATAGAAAAGCATAATAAAAAGACTACTACTTTGTCTTTACATCACAACTGCCTTACAAAAGATATTCCTACCCACCCACTATTATCCCCTAAATTAATCAATAACTGAAGGGTTATCTGCATTGCTCCCAACCCCAGGTATCTGCCTCCTTAATGCTTGTTTGATAATCCGTTCAGAATATTTCCTCCTTCCACTTCTACTAACTGGGACCCTTCTTCTTGGCATGGGGGCTGCAGGTGGTGGTGGAGGAGGTTGTTGGCTGCAGGTGGTGGTGGTCCTTCATTGCCCCTGGATAAACTTGGGTCTGCTCCACTGCCCCTGGATGAACTTGGTACTGCAAACAAAAATTAAAATGTCAATTCTTTGTTCAAATGATGTAATTTTTTTAAAAATATTCACCTGATGTATTGCTTTGTTGGTTAGATGGACACTTTTTCTTGTTGTGACCTGGTTCCTTACAAATACCACACTTTATTATGCTACCCCTTCTTGAGACAGTTTGTCTACTTGATCCACTCAACTCTCGTTCAATTGCATCCCTCTTCCTTTTCACAGATGGCCTACCAGGTAATCTTCTTCTTTTGGGAGGCAAAGGCTTATGGTATGGAACATCTGGCCACATTTCACTACTATTGAGAGGATTAATGCTATATTTGTAGCATTTTAGGTAAGCCTCAGTAGTGTATGATTGGGACACATATGCCTCAGCATCATGATTTAAGTAAGATATTGCTGCCACTCCATGTAAGCATGGTATCCCTGTAAGTTGCCATATTCTACAGGCACACTTCTTTGCAATTAGATCCACTCCATATGCAACATCAGTGAATCTAACCTCATACTTTTGATAACCACAAGGAGTAACTCCCCACAATCTGTTTAAGCATATTAACATCAGTGAATCAATAACACATCCTCATAATTAACATAAGCATATTAAAGTAAAATAATTACCTCTGTTTAACCTTCAGATGTTCTATACGCTTCCTAATAGTTGGACATATAAGCAAATCCCATTCCATTCCTTCAACTCTTTGAGTGTATATCCTTTCCATCACAAATAACCTAATCTCCTCCAGCATAGTGATTATAGGTCTCCTTCTAGCATGCCTAATAGCAGAATTGAAACTCTCACTGACCCCATTCTCCACTGCATCACAGTCTCTTCCTTCTTGAAAGAATGCCTTAGACCAGGTAGTAGGATCTCTGTCTATAAGGTAATCATAAGCATGAGTATCAATAGATTTGATGTTCTCCATTACACCTCTGAACTTCTCCACAGTACTAGCCCTTACAGCCCTCCAAAATAACTTTATGTATTGTTGACCAGTAAACCTTTTATTAAAATTGGCCAGAATGTGTCTAGCACATTGTCTATGTTCAGCTTCTGGACATTTTCCTTAACTGCTTGTAATAACCCCTACAAATCACAACATCATTATGAGTGAAAAAGCATAAAAATGAAGCATAAAAATGACCTAGTACTAACCTTGTGTCCATCAGAAAGAAGGGTAATGCCTGCACCAAGACCACCATTAATGTCATCCATAAGCAAATCTATGAACCACTTCCATGTTTCTTTATTCTCAACACATACCACAGCCCATGCTAAAGGGTAGATGTGGTTGTTTGCATCTCTCCCAACAGCTGAAATAACTTCTCCTCTAACTATACCCTTTAAAAAGCAACCATCAAGCCCAATTACTGGCCTGCACCCTTCTAACCAACCATCCCTTACAGCTTTGAAACACACATAAAACTTAGAAAACAAAGTTGTGGAATCTGGCATGATGTCTACATCCAATCTCACAGTAGACCCAGGATTTGACCTGATAATTTCCTCACCATATGACCACAATCTCCCATAATGTTCAATTAAACTTCCTTCAATCTCTTGTAATGCAAATTTCTTTGCATTTCTGCATTGCCCCACACTCACATTTATGTTGAATGTTGTTGACACTTTAGCTTTCATCTTCCTTGCACTCATTTTTGGGTTCTCTATAATTTGACTCATAAAATGTTTCCCTATCCATCTATAAGTTACAATTGACCCAAACTTAAACACCCTACAACAATTATGTTCATTCACTAGAGATTTGATCTGAAAAGTCTTTTCTTTACCCATCCAGGAGGCCCATAGTCTGAAAGGGCAAGATGGTGACTTATTCTTTTTGCAACATTTCACTAACAATCTATCAGAGTCATTTTTTTCAAACCATAGATCATACCCATTAGCAACTGCATAATTGCTTAACATATGTTTAAGCTCAGTAGGGTTAGAAAATCGCATACCTATAATTGGTTTCATCTGATCCCATGGCTGTCTCTCATCATACACAGGGTACTGGGGTGGCACGTATTCATCATCTTGATCTTCACTCTCTATAGGTTCACAAAGGATGTTTAAAAATCTATCACGTGCAGTTTTGTTTGCTGGAAATGGATAGGTAGCATCATCTTCTTCATGATCAACAGAATATGAATCTTGAATAACTGAATCCTCATCTTCATCTAAGTCTTCGTTTTCACTTTCACTTTCCTCAGCCTCAATCCAGTCGAAGATAGGTTCATTATGGTGATCCACATATACATTCATTCTCTTGTCATTAGCATACGCCAAATCCAAAAATTCCTTGTAATCACCGTTGTTCACCAGTGTATGAATTCCAAGACCTAAAGACTCTTGTGGAAGGCAGAAATAGATGTCTTTGCTTCTCGAGTTGGTGAGCTTGTGAAGGAATTCCATGAATTGCTCATACCCAAACCCACTGAAGTCAACATCTCGCACTGATGCTCTGTTGGGATCAAAGTAAACTAAGGGATTGGGTGCAAACTGACCATTGTAGTGGAAATCCACTACAATGAAGTTCTGATCAGTAGGATTTGGAGATGATGCCATAGAACGGTTGAAGGAGATGAATGATCGATGGAGAATTTTGTGACCTAGTCGAGTTTAAGGACCAAATAAGACTTCGGGGTGTGGTTTAATGAGACGGAGACGAAAAATCGGGCCCTACATGCCACCTCTTTCGCCACGTAAGATAAAAAATACACGTAGGATCAATAAACCGTTTGAAACCGGCTAAACCCGGTCGGAAGGGGAAAATTTGCACAAATCAACAAGTTAAAGGGTTAATAGAGCACGAAAAAAAGTTCAGTGACCAAATGTGATCAAAATCAAAAGTATGTTACCCTCTGAAGTCATTATCCCTAAAAACAAAAAGAACTAAATAGATGTGATATTATATATGTCTGGTTATAACTAGTAATTGAACCCATATTTTTGCTGTGGGTGTTATATGTTTTTATTGTGTATTAAGAAGTAGATGAGTCACATGGAATAAAAACAAATATTTAAAAAATAAAAGGTATATATTACAAAGCTAAATGTGGTTAGGTGAAAGTAATATTTAAAAAAATAAAAAGATGAAAGAATAAATAGGTAATAAGTGACGGATTATATAATTTGAGGAATTATTGTCGAACTTCATGCATTTATACATTATGCATAAAATATTGTACTCTTAACTACATTAACTAGGGATGAGCAAAAGGACCGAATCGGCTGGAACCGGTCCAAACCGGACCGGAACCGGGAACCGGCTTCGGCCAAAATCAAGAACCGAACCGGCCCGACGGTTCTATCGGTTCCGGTTCTACCGGTTCCCGGTTCCTACTGGTTCTCGGTTCCTACCGGTTCTTGTTGTGTCTTCAAATGTTGGAACTGGTCCTTGAAAAATAACATAATATGGTTCCGGTTTTTGCCGGTTCTACCGGTTTCGGTTATATCGGTTCCGGTTCCTACCGGTTCACGGTTCCAAAAATCCACAAAAATAACGGTTCCATCGGGTTCCGGTTCTGGTGCCGGTTCCGGTTCCGGTACCGGTTTCCCGGTCCATTTGCTCATCCCTAACATTAACTTATACTTGCAAATTCGAAGTTGCATTTTAATTTTATATATTATGAATATGAATTCTTGGAGTCGAATTTTATTTTTCCTTATAATATACTAATCTCTATACTAATAAAAGAGTAGTTCTTTTGCCATGTGTCACTATATTAAACCTCTTAATTAATGTGTTGCCACTTGTCAATCTATTAGTTCTTCATTTTAAATTTATTAGAGTTGCTCATTAATGTGATGCTATTTGTCAATGTATTTATTATATATTATATATTTTAAATTTTATATTATTGTTTTCATTAATTCACAAATAAAAATATCTAATATATGTTAAAACTTAATTTTACATATTTATTTGAATCAACGATTACAATTTGACATAACTAATAAAAATATCTTTTAAATTAATAATTTACTTAAAATAAGTAATTAATAATTTTAAAATTTTACTACAAAAGTTTAATTAATTTTATAACCATGGTTTTTACGGATTATAAACTAGTTAATAATGAAATGAAATATAAATCAAAATCGTCTAACGATATTTATGTTATTTCTACGAACATCAATTTTAGTAATTTAGATTTGCATACGATGGATAACCATGAAGAAACCACCACTACCTCCGTACCTATGCCGGCCAAAGTTAACCCCGCGGCCAAGAAGGCGCTTTTAATCCTGAGTTGTATCTTGTTATCCATCGGAAACTGTGGTGGACCTTTGATTATGCGGCTTTATTTCATCCACGGTGGCAACCGCGTATGGTTGTCATCGTTCCTAGAAACCGCTGGATGGCCGTTTATCCTTGTCGTCCTCATCATTCTTTACTTCCACCGCCGTGCAGCCGGAAAAGATGGAGATAACAAACACACGTCATTGATCTACATGCGTCCGAGATTATTCTTCGCCGTGGCGTTTATCGGTGTCCTCACTGGTCTTGACGACTACCTCTACGCTTACGGCGTTGCCCGCCTCCCCATCTCCACTTCCGCCCTCATCCTCGCTCCCCATCTCGCCTTTGTGGCGGTCTTTGCATACCTCCTCGTGAAACAGAAGTTTACACCGTATTCCATCAACGCCGTGGTGCTTCTGACTGTCGGGGCGGCAGTTCTGGCGTTGCATACGAGCAGTGACCGGCCGGAGGGAGAGAGTAAGAAAGAGTACGCGATGGGGTTTGTTATGACGGTGGCGGCGGCGTTGCTGTATGGGTTTGTGCTGCCATTGATAGAGCTAACGTACAACAAGGCAAAGCAGGAGATAACGTATACACTGGTGGTGGAGATCCAGATAGTTATGTGTTTGTTTGCTACCTTATTTTGTTCGGTAGGGATGATTGCCAACAACGACTTTGAGGTACACACTGTTTTTTCCTTCACACAACATTATAATTTTATATTATAATTAAACCAGATTATTTGCACAACTACTTGTTTTATGCTAAGATAACTCGATTTTTTTTTTTTTTTTTTCTTTTTTTACATTTGACATCAGCTTAAAGGTCTAATTATAATCTAATCTGTCTATCTAGAGACAAATTAGATTATCATAACGAAGAAACAAGGAAACCGATGTGTCATGATTTATCTATTAAATAATTGAACAGATTACCCCTATAATATCATATGCTTCAAATAATTAATAATCTGTCACATTTTGAATTAATGTATTGTCAATCTTATAATGATGGAAGAAAAATCTAACATACATTTGAAAATAATCTTCATATTTTAATATCCTATGATAATATTATATTAAATTTTACCTGTTTTTGGTTGATCGGCGTGGAGATGGGATCGATATTATATTTTATGTTAATTATAGATAATTAAAAACTAAAAACTTTATATTTTTTTTTAGGGTAAATTACATCATTCGTCCTTCGTACATACGCCAGAAAGTGTGTTTAGTCTCTATTTTCAAAAATTAACTCGGATCGTCCCTGAGTTTGTTTTTTCTGGCACGGTTAGTCCCTATTGACATAAAATGACTATTTTACCCTTAATAATTTCTTTTTCATTTTTCTGTTAATTATTTATCAATGTTTAGATTTTTTTTTAAAAAAGAAAAAAGTTAATATCCCACCCCTCCCCTTCCCCTATCCCCGATTTCCTTCTCCCTCTCTCTCATTCACACTCACAACCGACAACCACCCAACTCCGGCGCTCTTCCTTTCTCCGGCAAGAAAAACCTTTCTCTTTCTCTATTTTTCGATCGCCACCCACTGCAAGTGCTGACAGCTGTGAATGGTGGTTCTCTGTCACATTCTTCTGATGTCCAATCTTTCTCCCCCAATTCTAGCTAAGAACTGCACACATCAGATACTTAATCTCGTGTAAGATGAGACTGAAAACCGATAATTTATTGCAAACAGTCATAAGATCTTATATGGAGTCTTAAAAATCAATGCAATTTGATAAATGAAATCCATCAAATCCATTCCCAAATAATCACCAGATGACTTCTTTCTCTCCATCCTTCACTTGCCTCCTACCTACACGTCACCATCCTTTATACCTTCAACTTATTCATCTCTGTCCCTCCACATCCAGTGCATCGTCATCATCCCATTTCAATAAACTAACCCATTTCTATATTCAACCTCATCAATATTTAGATAAGAAAAGGAGGATGAGAGACATAGTGGAGATTTGTGATCCGTCTAACTCCACAATTAAGCTCTACAGTGGCAACACACAGGTGAGGATGCAACGGTGGCTTGGAGGATATGGCGAAGTTACTTTGAGGGGATGAAATCGGAGGTCTAAAGGGGACAATATCGGTGTTTCAAAGGGGACGATGAGTACCTCCGACGACTGGATTTTGACTTCCTCCGGTGGCTAGATTTTGATTTCATAGGAAGAGGAGGTTTTATAATAACGATAGAGAAACGGGAAAAAGGATTTAGGGTATCTAGCTAAATGAGGATGTGGGTGGATAAGTGTGAGGCCCACTTCATTTTCTATATATTTTAATTAATAAAAAAAATAAATAATGAAAAAGAAAATAAATAAGGGCAATATAGTCTTTTTCAAGTCTCTGAAGGTATGAAACGTGAAAATTTAAATTAATGAGGGATGAACCATGCAACTTTTAAACAAAGAAGGGATGGTCCGAGTTAATTTTGAAAAATAGGGACTAAACATGTTTTTTGGCATATGCACGAGGGACGATTGGTGTAATTTACCCATTTTTTTTTTATAATTTTAAATAAACACGTTATATAATTAAATCTTATTAAAATAAATAGTTGCACGTGCAGACAATCTCCTTGGGTATGGGACGATGAGACGGCTTAGTTCGGGATAATCATTGTTAATGTATTTTGGTAGCTATTAGGTATTGGTGAATATTAGTTTTGATTAATGATATTTGTCGGTTAATGGTTATGGTTAACAGTTGATATTGGTTAAAATGAGATAAAAATAAAATAATTTTTTAATAAAAACTAAAAAACGTAAAGTACATTGTTATGAAAAAATGAACGATTTTCTACTTATAACCTTATTAATATGATAGAAGATTAGTTATTTCACTCAATTCCAAATAATTACTTTTTGAATTTTTAATTCCAAATATAATTACATACCATATATTTAATATTTACTATTATATTATATTAAAAAATATTTGTTAATATTATTGGTTCGGTTCGATTTTTAGTGGTTTAGTTTTGGATGAACACTATAACTGAACCATATCTATTTAGTTAATCATAAATAGAAACCGCACCACCTTTTTTAGTAATGGTTCAGTTAAAATTGTTTGGTTATTTAGGTTAATTTGGTTTTGGTTCGAATTTTCGATTAACATGCTAAAAAAAAAGTAAAAAAAGAAACGTGGGAGGAGGTCATTTATGGCTTAGGCAAAACGGTACGAGGGAATAAAATTCACCGGCAACATCCGACTTGGGAGGTGTTGCCGGCGACAAACACCATCTTGTATTAGCCGGCAAAAATGGACGGCAAAGGTTGACAACAACTATTCACCAATGAAAA